AAAAAAAAAAAAAAAAAAAAAAAGAATTAGGCCAGGGCTGGGGATGTGGCTCAGAGGTGCTGCGCCTTTCTCACAAGCACAAGGTCCTTAGTTTGGATTCCCGATACACACACACACAGCCATGTACAGTACCTAGTACTCTGAGCAGGAAGGACACTAACATGACCTGTCCAGGCTCCTGGGGTCTCCCCAGTGCTCCTCCAAGCCAGAGCCGGATGAGTCCTGCTGGTTTGCAGCCTTGCTTTCCTAACGCACAGTGCAGGAGGCCTTTTCCCATGGCTCTGGCCACACCCTGCTCTGAGCTCCTGGGCCATTGGGCTGTGGTCCATGTGCTGCACAGATTTACACTGATATTCTCACATGCATAGGTCACATCTTGCTTACCATCTCCTTTGTTACTGGGGATCGAACTCAGGACCTTGCGCTTATAGGCAGGTAACACCACCATTGCGCTAAACCCCCGCCCTACCATCTCTGTTTGTTTTTTGAGCCAGGGTCTCACTATGTAGTTGAGACTGACCTGGAACTCACTGTTTAGCCCAGGCTGGTCTTGAACTCACAGCAATTCTCCTGCCTCAGCCTCCTGAGCCATCTCCTCTTGATAACAATCTCAAAATGGATGGGTTAGTAAGAACATTTTCTTTTCCTTGTCTTACGATTTTTTTTTCCTAATTTCACTTTAGAGTGATAACACATTTGGGGGGGGTACTGGGGATTGAACTTGGGACCTTGTGCTTGTGAGGCAGGTGGCAGCACCACTGAGCTAAATCCCTGGCGACAACACATTTATTTACTACTAACTTTTCAGGACATTAGATAAGTGCCCAACCACTAAGCCACATCCCCAACTTTTTTAAACTTTGAGCAGCTAGGTTACAAGTGTCCACCACCACACATGGCCAATACTTTTTTTTTTTTTTTTTGGAACTGGGGATGAACTCAGGACTTTGTGCTTGCGAAGCAGGCAGTGGCACCACTGAGTTAAATCCCTGGCCCCATGGCTAATACTTTTAATTTTCATTTATTTGTTTACTATTTAGCTGTATTTATGAGATGGGACCTCACTGTATAGCCCAGGTAGGCCTTGAACTTGCCACCTAGCCCAGGCTGACATCAAACTCATGTGATCCTACTGTCTCAGCCTCCCAAGCATAGGGATTCCAGGACTGTACCACCCTACTCAGACTACTTTTATTTTAATGGGCAATGGTCTGCATCTGTGAGGTTAATGTTTACATTGAAGAATGATTGAACCGGGGGATTAATACAGCCACTACCTCTCAGGCTGACTTATCATGCTCGGTAGTGGGAGCATTCAGAATGTGTTCTAGGCTGGGATGTGGCCCCATAGTAGATGCTTGTCTACAAGCATGAGGCTCTGATCGAGTCCCCTTGCAAAAAATATTTAAATCAAATCAAATCAATCTACATTTCAGAATTCCAAAGAGTTGGCATCCATATGGAGATCCATCAGAGCACAGCTCCCAGCCCTTCCCAGCCCACCATAGCACTAGCACACTGTGCTCATCTGTACGCCAATTGTATGGGGGCCTGTATGGAACAAACTAAAGATAGAAGCTTTTGTTCTCCAGCTGTTTACACTCTAAAGCAGACAATTCCACGAACAAAGAAAAAGCCAAGCAGAAATTCCACTCTGGCAATTGAACATGAAAAAAAAAAAAAACACAATTTCAAAGAGGACTATCAAGACTCCCATTAGGTTGAGAGAGCATGTTATAGGTCCATGAGTTGAGCAATGTTTTATTTAATTACTTGGGTGTAAAAGGCAAAAGGGACAGACCGTCTAGCATCCTCCAAAAGTAGGGAAGAGACTAACAGACTCCAAGAGCACAAGCCTAGGGAAGGACAAAGTCTGAGCAGGGGCACAATACAAAGTGGGGACCAGAAGCCCTGAATGGAGGGCTCTCCTGATGCCCAGGCACGGAGGTGTGGATAGCACTCCCATCCACAGGGCACTCCACACGCCTGCTGGGCAAGGCTGAGAAGACCAGTTCAGGCCTTTACACTGCTGCCTTAGGCCAAGGGCAGAGAGCTAAAGTTCCTGTGATCTGGAGAGCAGCATGTAGCAGAGCTGAGAGAACACAGCCAGAGCCGGCATAAGTAGGACTCCATGGTGGACTGAGGACATGCAGCCAGCCAGGGGAGTGGAACTGAGGGCAGGCAGTGTGCTCCTGTGATTGCTGCCCCTGGCTGCCTGGCATCCCAGCCCAGGAGACGAGGCAACCCACACATCCGTGGGGCACCATTCTGCACATACCTGGAGTCTGTGCCCCAGTGCATGGCGTAGATCTTGGCTAGATGCCCCCTCAGCGTCCTCCTGGTGCGCATCTGAATTCTTCCCACTGGGTCAATGTTGTTTGTGATCTTAAAAATAAGAAGAGTTCCAGCAGATTAATGTCTGTGAAGGAGCAACTGGACCTGTAGCTCTCCTGCTCTCTTGGACCAGCTGGATCTGTGGTGGACTCTGGGGTGGCACCTCCTCCCCTCACATGCACCATGCAGTGCTAGTCTGCATGGGCCCTGACCTCTCTTCTCACTTTTTCCTCCTTCTGGGAGCATAAAGCAACCATACAGTGTCCAATTCAGCAGCATCTGGCACGAGAACAGTGCTGCATGGCCACAGCCAGAGTCTACTTCCCAATATTTCCATCGACCTCAGATCCCCACCTTCACTACCCAGCTACTCCCACTCTTCTCTAACTTGTCCCCTGGCAGCCACAAAACTATTCAGTCTTTATGGAGCTTCCCATTTTGGATTATTTTCTCTAAGCAGAACCACAGAATGTATGACTCTTTATGCCTGGCTTGTGAGGGATACCTGTGCTTGTGTAACTGCTGTGCTCCTTTTCACAGCTGAATAATACTCCACTGTGTGCACAAACTGTAGCCCACAAAAGCTGTACTTCTCTGCCACTGGGAACCTTGCTCAAGCAAACGTGGTGCCTAGCAGCCCTCAGCAAACCAGCAGTTTTATTTTTTAGGGTTTTAACAATCCAAGGACCAAAACTATGAAATGGAAAAGTTCTCCGTGCCTGCATCATTCCTCGCTCACAGTGTCTCACCGCACATCTCACAAGAAGGGCAGGGCCGTGTGGTGACACAGACTGCAGCACACACGTGTGTCCACCAGTGCTGTGGCAGAGCAACTGCAGTGCTGGGACCCCAGCTGCGGCATCACCTCCCTGTGTCTGCCAAGCAGAACATAGCGCAGGGAAGGCTGCAAGCCCCGCTGCAGGTCTCGGAAGGTGTCCTGACCATGCGTTTGCTTGAAAACCACTTTTCAATACTTCCAGGTATATCTGGCAGGACATTTCTGGTCACGTGGTAATTTTATGGTTAACTTTTTGAGAAACTGCCAAACTGGACATTAAAAACTGAAATTCAGGGCTTGGGATTTAGCTCAGTGGTTCCACTGACTGCCTCGCAAGTTTAAGGACCCGAGTTCTATCCCTAATACCAAAAACAAACAAACAAAACAAAACAAAAAAACCCTGAAATTCAAAGGCAGATTCTGTCATTGAGTACAACTATTAACTCTGTAACAAGAGGCAATTCTTTAAAGCTAGAGAGCTACTATTTTCCTCTAAGGAAAAAAAGCCCACTACTCCTTCTGGCCATCACCAGGAGGAATTCTGAAAGCAGCATCCCCAGGACACCCCCAGGCTATAGCGGGGATAAACAAAGCACAGCTTGCGGCAGAGCACCATGGGGTGGCCACACAGGGCACCTGCACTTACCTGTGAGAGAGTTGCATCTGCACATGCTTTCCGAGCATCCTAGGAAGTAACAACAAAGGGATGATCAGTCCAGGCCCAGATGTGCACTCCTAGGCCCCAGCACACTGAAAGTGCAGAGGCCCAAGCAAGAGGAAAAGCAGTGCCCAGTGTGGAACACTCCTTTCCCTTCCCCACACACCTAGTCCATGGCTGCCTGTGACTATCTAGGCCCCAAATGCAAACAATTCCCAGTGCCCAAGCACAACTACACTACACACCCTCCTGAGCCAGCAAGGACCTGGGCCTGGGTGCTGCCACTCTGGCTGTGTCTTCCCTTGGGGACAGGGCCCAAAGCAAGACAACTCTGAGACCAGCTGTCCAGCCAACAAATGGTTCCTTTAGACAGCACTGGAGGACTTTGTTTTCCATCATTAAACCTCCATTCTGTAAGGAGATGAGGCACCTGGAGTTCTGACTAGACTTTCTGGCTCTTGCTATCTGATCATCAATCTGTGTTCTCATCTATACAACTTAGGGAAGCAGGTGAGACATGTGACAGATACAACTATGCAGCCTCAAACTCTCAATGATCCTCCTGCCTCAGCCTCCCAAGTGCTGGGATAGTAGGTGTGCACCATCACACCTGGTCTGTATTTGCATAATTAAAGATATTTATAATGAAGGAAAAGATGATAGCTTAAAAGGTTCAAAATTTGGGTTAAGGCATAAATCAAAGGACTCATGACAATTTCAAGTAAGGGAATGTTCTCAAGCTGTTGTCCTAGGACAGTGCCTGCATGTCCCCCGGTTCCAGGTAGGGCGTTCCCCAACAGGCTTCAGGGGCAAGCCGCTTCACTTCAGAGGGTTCTCACTTCATAAAGCCAGCAGGAAGAATTATAAACTGGTAACAGGGAACCACACTGAACTTACATTACTGTGTAAATATATCTAACCTCTAGAGTTCACTATCTTCAACAGAACCGTCATTACTGATTCTGCACATATTTAAAACATGGAAACCCCGTAACCAAGTATTTCTCCTCCATCACTGATCAATCTGGAGAGTGGCTGGTGGGCAGTTCAGCGGTACAGTACCTGCCCAGCCCAAGGTGGTGCTGGGTCCGAACCACAGGACCACCAGAAACTGCTGTACAGTGCACAGCAAGTCTTTGTCAGTGAGCTTTTCCTGCTGAGCATGAAGATCAATATTTATGAATATCATGCTCATCACACTTCCTGATGTCATATAGGCTTCTGCTTTGAAAAAATAAAAAGAATGTCTTAAACAGAGAAAAGAGAAGCCAGGCTTTAACCCTGGCTGGTGTCTGGATGTGCTCAGGACAGGCTATAGCAACCCATGGAACATGAGGGACACCCAGGTGGCTGAGTCCCTGCTGTCTGGCTGCAGACAGGTATGAACATAGGTGCGGCACTTCTCAGAGCAGGAAGAAGAGGGCTCCTGGGCAGAGGCTGCAGCTATGGAGACAGAACCATGCCTCATAGATTCATCTCCAACGTCACAAGACGTGTGGCAAGGGACTCATCCCCACCACACGCAGTCCATCTCCCAAGACCCAGGGCAGGCAGCACACACAGGCTGCAACTGGCCATGCCGGTGAGCAACTGCAGCAAGGACAGCCCAGGACCCAAACAGCCCACAGCCTCCGGACGGACACGTGTGGATTGCAGCTGGCGCCACAGAGGGAGCCGGCACCTGTGTACATGAGGCTGCTGTGTCCTACTAAGCCTCCCTTGGAGAGCCCATAATAACACAATCAAGAACTGAAAGGTCCTTTGGTTCTTTCAGCTGACAAATCTAAGAAAGTAAACAACTCAGAACCACCAGCCCTTTCTCGCCTGGTTCACATGCTCTGCAACCTTCCTTGGACAGTTAGAAACATTTTCTCTCGACTTTCTCTCTTTCTGAGCTGGGGACTGACCCAGGGCCTTTGTACTCACTGAACTATACCCCCAGTCCCCACATCCCAACTTTTTTTGAGAAAGGGTCTCACCAAGTCACTAAATTGCCCATGCTAGGCTCAAACTTGTGATCCTCCCACCTCAACCTTTGGAGGGCTGGGATTACAGGCATGTACCACCACACCTACTTGTTTTTTATTTTCACTTGTTTTATTTTTTTTAAAGGAGTTTTCCCTTCCCACTGGGGTACTGAATTTAACAGTCTTCCCCTCCAATGTGGCCAAAGACTCCATGCAAAAGGAAGCAGCACAGCCTGAGCCACAAGCTGTGCAGGGCCCACCTCTGAGGGCATCGCTGTGCCCTTAGTGCTCTCTGGGTGCAGACCTAGGTGTGGCCTAGGTGTGAAATCTAAAGGCAATACCATCTTAAATTTTGCAGGGCTGAGGATGTAGCTCAGTGGTGTTTGTCTGCCTGGCAGGTGGAAGGTCCTGAGTTTGATTCCTGGTACTGAGAAAAAAAATTAAATTTTGCGGTGGATGAATAAAAACAGATCAACGGTACACCAAAATGACTAGATACATGGTAAGATGTGACTGCTGACCCTGCTGTTTTGAAGGCTGACAGGGGTGGGTGGGGTGGTACCAAGTGTCATGTGACTCCCATGAAGCCAGGAGGCCCCAGAGCAACGACTTACAGCCATCAGAAAAGAAGCATCACACAACAGGCTGATCACACTGCCAGACACTATCTTTGAAGTAAACTTAAAAATAGTAATTTCAGGTAAATGTTTTAAAACATCTGTGTGGCCCCTCAAAATTCTGATTTCTGTATTTTTAGCCATCAGATTTTTGGGACAAAGAAGGAATATAATCTCTTGTTTGCTTTACTTTTTTATTTACCAAAAACAATGCTGTTACAAAATGAACTGCACTAAGCTAATTTTCTTTCTTTTTCTTGGTATCAGATCATTCAGGACCTTGTGCTTACAAGGCAGGCAGCAGCATCACTGAGCTAATCCCTGCCCCCACCTTTTGGTACCAGGGATCAAACCCAGGTCCTTGTGCTTGTGAGGCAGGCAGTAGAAAGACTGAGCTAAATCCCCGGCCCTCCTGCCCCTTTTAAGACAGGGTCTTGCTATATAGCCTAGGCTGGCCTTGAACACACAGTGATCCTCCTGCCTGAGCCTCCTGAGTGCTGGGATTACAGCTGTGTGCCACACCCAGATGAAGTATACAAATTTTAGGGGAAGGCAAGTGCATGTGGTGGCATCTGCCTGGAATGGCAGCTATGGAGAAGGCCAGGGCAAGAGGACTCCAACTTTGTGTCTGGCCTGAGCAATTTAGACCAGTGCTGTCTCAGCATATAATAAACATGGGCAGGGTGGGGCTCAGGACCAGGGTACAAGCCTAGCATGCACAAGACTTTGGATTCAACCCTCAGCACCTCGAAAGTGAGCATGTGTGTGTGGGTAGGGGGGTATATTTTGGTTCTTTCTTTCTTTTTTAATTTTTTGAGACAGGTCTCACTGTGTAGTTCAGGCTGGCCTTGAACTCACTATGCTGTCTAGGCTGGCCTCAAATTCAGGTGATCCTCCTGCTTTAGCCTCCTTGGTCCTGGAATTACAGGCTTGTAACACCATGTCTGGCCACTATTTTTCTCGAACTCCCAACAGCATGCTTGAACATATGACTGACTGGCTGTTTAAAAGAAAATAATTAGCCTTACACTACACTTAGAAAAATAAACTGTTCAGACATGTACTGAATGCTATTAACTTCTTGGAAAGTGCAACTCTGAAGGATAGCTAAAGCATTTCAGATGGTAATGGAATAAAAGAGAAAGCTCTTTCAAATAACAAAACTCCAAAATACACTGAATATTGGGTTTTTCATGAGGAGCCTAACTCCTTTTCTCTTGTTTTTCATACTTGTACTAAATATTTTTCTCTCTTTTTTTAAAGCAAAAAATAGTTACATTTATCATTGGGATCTTGTACTTTTACATGATATGTCTTAGTTCTTATTTTTATTTTTCTATAAAATGTTCACAAAAGTGGAGAAAGAATTCCTTTCAAATCTTCTCTTTTTAAAAAAGCTGATGGATCTAAAATTTAACATTATATATCAGTCACAGATTAGAATTTATTGCTCAGGGGTAGGCGTGCAACTCTGCTAGAGAAGTTGCCTGGCATGCAAAAGGCTCTGGGTTTGATTTTGAGCACTGCCAGAAGGAAAGGAAGAAGGGAGGAAGAGAGAAAAGAGGGGAGGGGGAGAGGAGGGAAGGAAGGAAAGGGGGAAGAGAGGGAAGGAGGGAGGGGGAAGAAAGGGGAGTGGGGAGGGAATACTTCTAATGTTTTTGAATTCTGTGAAAGTAAATCTTTGAGTTTATACTTAACCAGAAATTTCTGATCTATCTAGCAGTCTTTTCAAAGTTGTAGGTTCCAAAAATCATCTGAAGGGAATATTACCTTTCCAAAAAAAAAAAATAAATAAATAAATAAAAAAAGGGCATGCCTGAAATACCACCTTTTTATTGTTTTTGTTAATATTCCCCTCCCATTTTGAAAGCACCCTCTCTGCCTTCCTCTTAGCGGCCAAGCTCTCTGGGAAGGGCAGATAACTCCCACAGTGAATACGAGGGGCTCACAAAGCTAATTCCCAAAGTGAAGGCAAAAAAGTGCAACCAATACTTACAGAAATATTTTGCAATCCTTCAAATAACAAATTATAGTATGCAAGACAACAAAATCCTGAAAATAATGCTTACTAGGCCAAATATCTGATCTGTAATTAATACCAATTAAGGTCAACTTGCAGCCTGGTGCGGTGCCTACACCTGTAATCCAGCACTCTGGGATGCTGAGGCAGGAGGCTCACAGGTTTGAGCTCAGCCAGGGTAACATTTAGGAGACCCTGTCTCAAAATAAAAATAAAAAAGGGCTAAGGAAGTAGCTCTGTGGATTCAATCCCCAGTATTTAAAAGAGAGAGAAAGAGTGCTGGGGATTTAACTCAGTGGTTCTGCCATTTGTCTTGAAAGTACAAGGTCCAGAGTTGGATCCCCGGTACTAAAAAAAAGAGGGGAGAGAGGGAGACAGGGACAGAGGGGTAGGGAGAAAAGGAAAGAGAAGAAAAGAGAAAAAAAGAAAGTTCCCTTTTGATGTAAAACCCAAGCACCACCCTGCCACCCGCCTCCCTGCAGTGGGCAACATCTGCCCCAACTACGCACTCTGATCTGGTTCTTGAGCTGCTCGGCCTCCTGCCGGAGCTGGTCAAGCTCGCTCATCCTCAGGTCCTCGTGCTCTCAACGCTGCCACAGAGAATCCGGGATCTGGAACAGACAGCACAGAGCGCGCTGGGTGTGAAGACACAGATGAGGCTCAACGCTCCGGTCATGTTATAAACCAGAGACCTTTTGCTCAGCATCTGTTCAATGTACACCACATTAGCCTGGGGCCAGGGTGAGGAAACAGAACTACTATATCACTATCTGTGAGGCAGATGACGTCCAGGAATAACATACTGCTGCAAATACTGGGGTAGACTGAAAAAAAAAAAAATGATGTTAAGAAGAGAGTTTCACAAAGGATCTGGTCTCCCCATGAATCAAGAGCATTAGACTCACATTCACAACGGCTGCCATGCAAAACCCAGGGGCGGTTACTTTAGAAGACAGCACTGAAGTAGCTTGGCAAACCAGCACTGGGAAACCAGGGCAGTGACCATGAGTCTGGGACCACGAAGATCCCAGAATGTCCCCAGGGCAACTCCAAAAGACACCCTCGATGTACAGCAGTCCTCTGTGCCCACTGAAGGAAAGGAGGCCCTGGAACCCCAGTGGGCTCAGACTCCTCTCTTCTTCTAGGTACCAACTGAGTCTGGCCACTGTGAACCCTGCATACCCACTCAAGTCAGGCACACAGTGCTCCCCAAGTCAAAGGCAGAGAAAAATACTCCATTAAACGATACTTCTTTTCCCCAGAGGAGGCAAAAGACCAGGTGGCATTTTTGACAAAGATCTCAGCTGATAAGTCAGTCATAATATAAACATGACCTAAGCACCACAAGATGAAGACAGGATTACAACTTTTTAAAATTACTTTTAAGAACAGAATTAGCTCCCATAGACAAACGTGATTTATGAAAGGACCTCAATTTTCCACGCAGATTGCCATGGGGCTAACATACATACATCAAACATCTAATTAGCGGTAGTTATTTTCTGGGAATTGAAAAACACATGGGGGGTTGTCTAGAAGGTTCAAACAATTGAACTGTTAAAGTTCCTCAACTTTCCTACTCTACATAAAAGCACCCCAAAATCACTGTACCAGCTGTCACATTATCTATTCCTGATATGCACAACAAAACTCTCCCAGCTGACAAAGCACCTTGGCCAGTGTGTCAGGATGGACAAGGACAGGAGGGGGATGTCAGCTAGGTGCTGAAGGCAGGGAGCGTCCTCAGGATGCCATGGGCAGCCTCCAAGACACAGCTGCAGACTGAGGCAGGCCCTGCACAGAGCAGGGAGGCAGGGCACATGGCAACACTTCCAGGAGGGCTTCTGAGAGCCATGCTGGTTTCCAAAGGCCTTCAGCGGGTCTTTGAATCACAGGGAAAAGGTCACCATGGGAGAAGGCCACAGGCCTCCTGGACACAGATCACTGCTGCAATGCCACATGGTGGGGACCGTTCCCTCTTACAGGAAAAGCCAGCTGATGCTTTTCTTTTTTTGTTGTTTTTTGGTACTGGGGATCAAACTTGGAACCTTGCCCTTGTGAGGCAGGTGGTGGCACCCCTGAGCTAAATCCCAGCCCTAGCTGATGCTTTTCTTTGGAGACAGTTTCATTGCGTTGCCCAGGCTGGTCTTGAACTCCTCGGCTCAAGTGACCCTTCTGCCGAAGCCTCCCGAGCAACTAGGGCTACAGGGGCTCCACTGCCCTTGACTCTTTCTTTAGTTTACAGAGTGTGAGAACTTACATATACAGACGTTGTTGTGTAAGAGAACACGATACACAGAAAATGCAATGATGTTTCACATGGAAAGCTGTGCTGACCTGTCCACGGCACGTTTTTGCCTCACATGTAGTTCAGGTGAGGCCAGGCTTATTGCAGAGCAACACTCAGCTGTAACCCCCCCACCCCTTCACACAGCCTGAGGAAAAGAGGCAGCTGTGGCTCTTACAAGGAATGGAATTCAAAAGTTCTACTTATTCAATGAGTGAGTGGTGCCTCCTTCCAAACAAACTGGAAAGCTGAGGTGGCTTTGACAGCATGAGCTAAAGCAACAATCCTGAGGACCCAGGTGAACAGGAAGGCCTTCCTGAGCCGCCCAACCACTGTGGCTCCCATGGCAAGGGCTGGGAGCCCCGCATGCAGACAACTGTGGTGGTGGATGGATGAATATGTTAACATCTTTTCTCTGCAATCTTTTTTTTTTCCTTTTTCTTTTTCTTGGTACCGGGGCTCAAACTCAGGACCCTGCACTTGCAAGGCAGGTTGACGGAACACTGAGCTAAATCCCGGGCCGCTCTGCAATCTTTTTAAAAAATTAAATATTTGGGCTGGGCGTGGTGGCGCACACCTGTAATCCCAGCACTCGGGAGGCTGAGGAAGGATGATCGCTGTGAGTTTGAGACCAGCCTGGACTACAATAGTGAGTTGCAGGTCAATCTCAACTACATAGTGAGACCCTGTCTCAAAAAAAAAAAAATTAAATATTCTTTTTTTGGGGGGTACCAGGGACTGAACTCAGGACCTTGAGCTTGCAAGGCAGATGGCAGAGTCACTGAGCTAAATCCCGGCCCAAAAATTAAATATTCTTTACATATATTACAGAAGAATGTTTATGTAGCAACCAACAGGCTGTATTTCCTAAGATTAGAGAAACAAATTTACTAAAAACCTAGCCATGCTTTTTCATATTTTCTTTTTTCTCAATATTTAAATGTAGTATTGTATTTCTTTTTTTTACAATACCCAGTAAGCGTGAGGGAAGTGGATATATTGCATATATCTATATCTATATCTATATCTATATAGATATTGCATTTATATATATAAAGTATATATATAGATAAGTATATATATAGATAAGTATATATATAGATA